GGCGCGGACACAGATCATTTGTTCAATCTCATGTACGCCTTGAAAATCAGAAAATCTTTCAGCTATGTTTACCATGCCAAAATATTCTTTTAGTGACGTCAAGCTTACTCTAGAATCGTACAAACATAGATGCACTATGGTCGAGAAAGTTATTTGTTGCTGATATATGTGCTTGAAAAATTTTAAAAAAAACCACCATCGTAGTAACAGACAGACTGCTATTGAAGTCAATATGTACACGGTAAATATTAACTAAAAGTTTACAAGAACATATGAGAAAACTCAAAATACAAAATTACACTACTGCATACATGGAAAGTAAATTCAAACCGCTCGAATAAAAAAAATTGATTAATTTTGACATCGATCAATTATTGATAATAGAGGATTGCAAATATTGAAAATTAATCAAAACAGTAAGCTACTTATGTACGCTATAAACATTGCTCATCATATCAAGCAATAGACCAGATGATTATCAAACGATGGATGGAGATTAAGGGTGCGAACGATTGGCAGAACAGTATGCTACGTCACTCACGTCTAGACCCGTTGCACGTTTGTCTCGTTTCGTTTTATCAACGAATTTTGCAAGGGCTAATTATTGTCTTACATGTTTTTGTAGAGTTCCTCAATGACTGGAATGACATAGCACGCGCTCCGAAAAGCTCTGATAGACATTCGTATAGGTGTGAGCAGCCGTGCAGGATTATCACATCTGCTTCCATTGTGTGCTGTATGGTCCGATCTACGCTGAGGAAGGTGTGGCTGTGGAAGTACTGTTCTACTGATACGGACCCTCACTCACACCCACACCCCACACACTTTATTCATTTATTAAATCAGGAAGAAAAGAACCATCTATTGTCTAATAAAGGATTGTAGAGGAGACCCAGAGCTATCTATCTATGAAAAAAAACGATAGGTTTCTATCCGAAACTTTTAAACAAAATCCTTGTTTTCCAGAAAACTCTTCAAGATTCCGATATCGAAAGGTTTTTAAGAATTGAGTTTGATAGTAAAAACGTAGTCTAGAGTGTCCTGTTTCTATTGCTGAAAACTTCAGATCGATAGCTTTTGTGGTTTTTGAATTATTATTTGAAAAACAACCATATGCCTTATATTTTGACGCCGATATTCTTATTCTCATTCATTCCTTGCACATCGTTTTAGTACTGTAATTATTTATGAATCAATCTAATTTCGACATGTTTTATTTAAATAATCATTCATCACAATTAGCATATATCTGTGTAAGGAAAATAGTCTTTTACATGTTTAAGAATCGTATATTCGCCATGTAGACGTAAATAACGCAACTTTGCACAATTGATTCGTGTTATATTTCTTTGAAAATTGTGTGTCACTCTTGCCAGTGATTGATAATCAATAATAAGATAAAGAGTATTCGACAAAGACATTTTCGTATCAAACAAAAATTGTTCAATATAATCATCATGAACACAATCTAGATTAAGTAGAATAAGATGAGGATATTTAATAATTGATAAAGTTTGATCATAATTTTTGAAATTTTCACATTGTTTTTTGTTTTGTGGTTTTTGATTAATTACAGTTAATTCTTTCATAAATGGAAATGATTTTTGAATTTGAAGAAAGAATTCATGTTCAAAAGGTTGTTCATCAAATAGTGACACTTCAGTAACATATTTAAATAATCCACCTGGAAAATTATTTGTAATATTTCTATAAAATTTTAATTTATATGGATATGAATAAATGTGATATTCACTGTATCCTGCCTCAGGAAAATAATTAACATAAGAAATAATTTTATTATTTTGAAGACTATTGAATGTGTGTTGAATATCTTCATTTAATGGTAAACGAATTTCATTACGAAAATATTTTCTTGAACGTATGTTAAATACAAAATTTTTTAATCCTGGTATTCGATTGATAATATTTTTCTTCAAATCATTACTATCAACAAATTCTTGATTACATTCGATCATAAGATGTAAATCAAGTTTTTCTAAACTGATCATTCGATATAGAAGTGGTAGAATTGATCTTTCATAACTATTTGTAGTGCTATCACAATGAAGCGAAAAACATTTTAAACGAGATAATTTTTCCTAAAATAAAAAGAACATACATCAATTCATTTAAATAAATTAAATATTAATCTACCTTATTATTGATTGTTGTAGCTAAAGCGAAAAGGGAAAAAATATGAACATGAAATGAATGAAGTTGATTGAAACGTCCATCAAGTAATTAAAGACAATCAATAAAATGATGCAAACAGACATGTAATTCTAAGAGAGTTGAAGAGATAATAGTTGGAGGTGAAATATCAAATGATAATCGTTGATAGAAAATTGAAGATGGACCAAAATTTAGATATTTTAAATTGGGGAACATAGTAAAGATTTGTGTAAATATAAATATATTCATATATTCTGATAAACTTTGTTCGTCATTTTCCCTAATATCAATAACAAGCGATAAGATTTGATTTTTGAAGAGAGGATTGAAAAAACTTTCGTCTAAAAATAATATTCATTAATTAATTATAAAGAGGATCGAAAAAAAATCTTACCAGTAAAGAGCGATGGAGCTACTTCTACATTAATATCATATAGACCAAGTCCATATAAATTTGGATAATTTGTAGCAGAAAGAATACGTTTCATAGACGATGATTCAAGATTAAGCCATTGGATTTTATGATGAATTGAAGGTAAAATTTGTGAACAAAATCGATCAAGCATTGGATCTGGTAATGGACAGACGTAATCATCATCCGAAAAATATTGATATAAGTTCAAACAACTTGAAAAAATTGAATCATGTGCAATTGTATTGAGTCGTTTATTAACACCTATGAAATAGTAGAGCACTTCGACATTGTATAATTTTTTCAAAATAATCATAATTATCTCATCAGGTAAATCGTTTAATCGAGCCCAGAAATGTTCCATATTTATTTTCATTCTATTTTTTTTAACTCACACATATGAATATTTATATACATACGTTCATTTCATCTATTTGATCGATGTCGTCAGTGAGAACAATGATGTTTTACATAGTTTAAATCGACAGTGAATGAATGAATGAAAAAAATGGCATTGTTTCTTCGCTTGTTTTCTTATTCTACATGTCGATGAACATTGGCACAATATCTTTATTTTTAATATACTAAACATTATAATATGGTGGTCAACATGTTGTTTGTATTTGTTAGAATACGTGGAAAGATGATATTCAACAATTGTTCGTATCGATCTCGTACATTTTATTTCGACGTAATTATTTATAAAATTATTATAAATAAAAAAATAAAATGTATTATTTTCTAATTCGAATTCTTTTATAATAAACTCATTTGTTTGTTAATTAAAAAAATAATATCGTATTTTTGTTATAAATAACAACGTTTCATTCAGAAGTCAGAGAAATTAAAAAAAAAAGATCAATTGTTCTGTAGGTGTTTTACACTCAGTCCCCGCCAACCAAATAAGTACACAAACCAATGGAAGAAAAACTTGTTCCAAACTATTCGAGTAGTTGGGCTTTAAAATTGAGTTTTAGCGCCTTAACATTACCAGAATTGTTATTTTTGAGCTCTAATGATTGTGTCGATGAAATGTGATAGAAATGTATTAACTGTTTATTACTTCCTTTATAACTATAAATTTGACTTCTGTAAGAGAATGAAAGGAAGATGATTAGAAGATTTTATCTTTCTCTCTAAAGGAAATGACGCTTTTACATAATCTATATCCTTTCCTGGCTAAGTATTTTTGTCGTTAAACTACTTTTTGATTGTCAGTTGTATGAATATATGGAATCATCGAATCAGGCATCTTATATTTTAATATTAGGATAAAAGAAATACAAAATGTCTATAAGTTCTTTTTTTGTCGTCTATGGCTACTTAAATAGTGTGACAAAGCAAACATTACGTCTGAATAAATTAGCATGATTTAGAATAACTCAGAATGTTGAAGCTTTTTTCCCTTGTATTAATCTTTAATTTGTCAATCATGTGATGTCCAATTGAAGAAAAACTATTGATTCTCAAAGTGTTGGATACCTCTGCTTGCGAAATCTAGGCTAATTTAGTTCAAAAATTTATTCAAATCGGTTTAATTGAAAAATGATAATCTTAGAAGTAATACTAGCTTTAAAATGTCAATATAGTACTTGGTAAAAATTCTGTATAGACACGAAAGTTTCAAAATAGATGGAAATCCGAATCAGGTTTTCTTCATTCATATAAACTTTATACTGAATTTTGTTTGTTTCAAAAAGAATCGTTTTTTTCGAGTGATACTCTTGTCTATCACCGTCGATCGAAAGCTCTTATGGAATATCAAAACTAAAGAGAAAACTCGTTTTTTTGAATCCAGATGGATTGATTTGATCTCAATTCAATTAAGGAAGCATAGATTTGATTCAATAGATGACACTTATTCTATATATGCCACTAGTTTACGCATACTGATTAGAATTATATTTACTGAATGTAGAAAGAATATTTTCGTCACTACCATTGTAAAACAAAACTTTTATTTGACAACTACACAAGGAATACTTTCTGTATGATAATTATCAAGAAATAGTCTTACTGCCATTAGCAATCATTCTGTACATTTAATGAATGCGTTATCTTTGATAAACTCTTATTCACAAGTATCCTTTCCTAAAAATGTTTCGACAAATTTTTTAAATTCTTTTGACATCATAAACTTTTCAAAATTTCATGAAAGTGATATTCTTGAAAAGTTCAACAATTCTAACAATTTTTAATTATAGAATTAAATTGAACAAGTAATACATTTTACTGGTTATATTTCAATGGTCTTATTGCAAGAATATGAATGCAACCCAACAGAATATAAGATAAATACGTATATGTGTGTCAAGAACTATTCATTAATTACTTAGGGCATACAAGAAGTAGTGGCCGAGGTATCTGAATTTCATATACAATGTTTGAAGAAATTTTCTTTTTGTATGGATTGATAGTAAAAAAGAAGAGGCTCTGCATTTCTACACTATGTAATCATTATTCATCTAATATCATAATAGTAAAATTTTCGTTAGACTTGTTAAGCTATGATATGTATTGATAACAATAAAGGAAAAAAACAGGTGGATATTTTTTGATAGAAACAAGATAGAGAACTGCGGTTTTCATCGTTAAAAAGAGAAGACAAAGACGCATTGAATCATATATTGAAGGGCTCCCTGACTGATTTTTGTAACCTTTCCAACCGACCTTTTTGAAAACAAGCGTACTCCTGTGGATTGGTTACAGTGAATTTTCAATTATCAGACATGCGTTTAAATTGTCAATGGAAGACTTACAAAACTCTGGAAATACTGTCGGTAAATATTTTATCATTCAGCGGTTATAGGTATTCTTGTCGATACTCTAAATCAATTTCCTAAGAATACTGCGAAAAAAAATCACTTTTCTAATAAAAAAACCATGTTTTCAATGTTTAGAAAACTGATTGAAAAAATTTCAGAAATGATATTAGAAAATGCTAAGACATACGAGTCGATGCGTCTTTATCTTCTCTTTCTAACGATGAAAATCGCAGTTCTCTATCTTGTTTCTATCAAAAGTTATTCAAAAAATATCTACCTAGTTTTTTTCCTTTATTGTTTATCATTACATATCATAGCTTAACAAGTCTAATGAAAATTTTACTATTAGTCTATACAAAAAGAAAATTTCTTCAAATATTCTGTACGAAATTCAAGTGTTCGATCCAGAATTTTTAGATATGCTGGATCTCAGCTTCAAAACATAGGATTCAGATGGAACTTACAGAGGGTGATATTGCAGCCAAATGATGAGTTTTTATCAAAAATTTTTTTCGATTGGAATTTGCGAAAAAAGTTTTTTTGTAAGCCTTTCACACCGTCAATTTTTTTGCTTTTAGTACTATTCTGTTTTTCCGATGTGATTTGAATCGGATAAAAACCGGCGATATATCGCCAGTTTTGCCGGAACATAGAGTGTTGTACAGTCTTGTATCAAAACCGCTGAATATTTGTTAAGTCTGTTAAAACTAACAGAATTAAGCCATTTTTCTTGCTTCAAGATAATTTCGATGTACTTGAGCCACCTGTACTAGCCACAGAGCCTATTTCGGCCCCAATTCTGGAGTAAATTTTTAACTATAGAGGGTGCTACAAAAATTTCTATTATTAAAATATTTTATAAAACTGTTTCTTTCTCGATAAACTGCAATTCTGTCTTATAATAAATTGAAGCTCAGATGGAAAACGCTGTCTGCAGCCGCTTATAATTGGGACCGGAACTTGTAAAGGCTACCGCCGATGGATCGTCATGGTCATATTAAACTACTATCGGAATTTTAAAAGAAGGCACCTGGAAAAAAAGCTTATAACTTTCGAACGAAAAGTCATAGATACCTGCGGTTTTCAGCAATCGGTAGAAGATTATAGGGGGCACATTTTTATATAAAAATCAAGGTTTAAATAATCACTGAAAGAATAGGCTAATTATTTGGTGAAATCTCAGCAGAACAAGCTGAAACTTTCAGCATATATAGCTCCACTGTACTCCAATCTTCGCTGAAAATATCATCGATATATCTTGTAATGACGAGTAATGGTGAGCCAATCATCATCTGATCTTACATAAGACACTCATTCACTCAAAATATTAGGAAAGGGTCTCAACTTTTGGCTGAATAAATATCATAATCTAGACTTCATATCTATGCAATAGCATCGCACCTTGATCGTAAAAATGTACGGAAATAGCCAAAATTCGACGAAGAAATGATTTTCATACAGTAAGTATTTTAAAACAAATCTTTCCAACTTTCTTAAGAGAAATGCAGAATTTAGTAATATTTTCACCGTCTCTTCTCGTTCATTTAATCAAACTATGATATAATTGCATAGATATGAAGTCTAGATTATGATATTTATTCAGCCAAAAGTTGAGGCCATTTCCTAATATTTTGAGTGAATGAGTGTCTTATGTAAGGCCAGATGACGATTGGCTCACCATTCCTCGTCATTACAAGATTTATCGATGATATTTTCAGCGAAGATTGGGGTACAGTAGGGCTATATATGCTGAAAGTTTCAGCTTGTTCTGCTGAGATTTCACCAAATAATTAGCCTATTCTTTCAGTGATTATTTAAACCTTGATTTTTATATAAAAATGTGCCCCCTATAATCTTCTACCGATTGCTGAAAACCGCAGGTATCTATGACTTTTCGTTCGAAAGTTATAAGCTTTTTTTCCAGGTGCCTTCTTTTAAAATTCCGATAGTAGTTAAATTTCGATTGATACTATAATAAACAGAAAGTTTATTGTTTCTAAACGAGTATTTCTTGAAATCTTTTTCTAAAGTTTGAATTTTATGCATGACTACCAGTTTTACTCATAATTGCTATTAAGTTTGTAAAAAACAACGATGCAATATCTGTATGAATATCGTTGACTATACATCTGCGTTGATGTATATTACTTGCGTATCAATTAAAGGCAAGAATATGTTGATTCTGATTTACATATGATATTTGATACGGCTTGAGAGATGAAAGAATAGTATTGAGTGAAAATATTTATTAAAAATCCTGTTTACTGTAACTAAAGACAATTTTTGGATAGGTCAGACTTGCTTTTCATTTTTTTTTCATCGGAACGAGCAAATTTAAAATTATTAAAAAAAGTATCAGTTCTATTTCTTTGTTTTTCTACAAGGATTTCAATGTTTATCGATTTCAAGATTTAGATCTCATGGGCTGATGATGATATTAGCATAGATGCCCGACGATCCAGTGCCGGTTGACAAATAGAATGATATAGTATATACATGACCAATAGTGAGTGTAAGTGATTGGCTAACATAATCGAGTGATCCAACATTTCCATCATAATAGCAATATGAGCCTGAATGACAATTGTTCGACGATAAA